TGAATTGAATTAATCTCAAATGAGGAGAAAGAGAGGCAAGGGGGGTGGGTAGAGGTTTGAAGGAGCAGTGAGTCAAGAGCAGAAACCCTACACCACCACCTTTACTTTCTGAGTGTCTTGGGTTGTGGAAAAATTGAAGATCACAAGGGATAGAGAGGCAGGGGTAGCGGTGGCAGAGGGAGAGAGCCATGTTTCTGTTAAGGCTAGTAAGTCTAGAGAACGAGAGATGAAATGGTCGTGCACAGCAGTGCAGATTTAACTGCAAACAGAGCGTGCATTCCAGAGGGCAGCATGGAAGGAGGATTTAAAGGAAGAGTAAGGATTATTGTGATTCCTGGAGTTAGCACATGGTGGGTTTGCGGAGGTGGGACCGGGGGTTTGGAGAGACAACACCAGCTGCTAGGAGGAATATAGGAGTGTGTGTGTGTGTGTATATATATACACATATACATTACAATAGTGAGTGTTTAAGAATATATTAGAATTCCAGTGTCAGTGCTATTCATACAATATTCTTGTTAGCAATTCTATTAACTTTATTATGTCATGCCAATGTTCCATGGTCCCTCAGAAATAGAAACGAGTTTGCAACATGTATTATCAACTGTTCATGTTACTCAAGCTCAACCAAGTGCTAAATGCATGTAAGAAAAAAATCCCAAAAAGTAGACTATTCTGCAGTATCACACCACTCTATCAAACATTTATTTATTGCCATGGAAACCCTTTATCTTAAACCTCTCGATGAACAGTTCTGGTATTGATGTTACATGACGTCCTAAGTCAATAGTTGTTTGCCCAACTGATAGGTGACAGTTAGTTGATAAATGCTACTTGCTTCAACGTCCAGCGGTGCTTTCTTGAGCTTGTGTGGTTTACTAATTTGAGGGTGAGTTGTTGTTTATCCAAACTTTTTTTATTGCCCATTATTAGCACTCATAGTTTACCGGACAAGTTATAGCATGTCAGAAATTTGATGGTCCATTTGTTGCACTTTAGAAAGACAGCCATGCGCTGATTTTGTATATCACTGGCTGCACATTTCCCTGGCTTCCCCAAGCTTTCCTTCTAAATATGTTTCCTCATGAGTTCTAAAAGGCATAGAAACATCTTATTTCTAAAAGGCATAGAAACATCTTATTTTATATATTTTAGTGGTGGCATTGCTACATTCTAAGCAGTATTTTAAATAAATGAACGTATGCAGTTGCTGTCCTCTCGAGTGGGAAATGCATGGGATCATTTTTATAAGCATTCCACCAAATAACCCGTTATAACCCATGTGCTCCTCCCCTCCCTTATCTACCCAGAAAACTCAGCACTGTACAATCCTTGTTATTCCTAATAAAATCAATTAAAAAAAAAGTGTCATGTTATGACACTGCCATGTTAAAGGTTTCTTAGCTATAGGTATTAGAGGTCATTATTTAAAGTAAGACCAACAACTATGCTGAATTCTCTGCCTAAGAATATGTGGACATATTCTATTCTATTTTGGGATAATAGAGAATGTGTAATATGCCATGTGTTATTGTTCATCCACAATGAAGGATACAGAGAGCTTGTTGATCCACGGCGCAATCTAAAATCAAGAAATATCATGCATGCAGCATGTTCTATATTTTACTTTGAATCAATTTTTTTGGACAGCAGAAATATGGATTCATAAAGTGTTTGAAATGTGAAACTACACACTGTATACCAATGTATATACCCTGAAACGTGTAGTGTATACTTATTCATTTGTGTGTGTATGTATACATTTATATATACATACATATCTAGTTATAGAGCAACACTGTATATCAGCTGGCATAAGCAGTTTTTCATCACTATAGGAAAACTACAGGGGTTCTGGTTTCATATTTAGTGTAGGTGTGACGGAACGCTGGCACTCCGACTGAGTACCTCCGCCAATCGATGCTCCTAGCGCTTGCCGAGGACTCCAAGCACTCCAACCGACACCATCAGCACTGCAGACCCCACTTCCAGCGATGTAACTGCGCCGGGGTCTCTGCTGTTTCCACCCACCCTGGACCCAAGGCCAGGATCCAGCTTCCAGTGGGTGAACCTCTCTTTCCCCAGAGAGCAGGAACAGGAACAAATCAAGCTATTGCAAGAGCTTCCTCTGGGGAGTAAGTGATTATAGCAATCCCCAGAGTGTAGGTATCCCTTCCCCCAAACATGAGCCAAGGCTTAATGCTGGAACAAGACTAATTTACTGGCACACAGAACTCACAATTTATGCAACACAAAACTCCTCCTCTGGGCCAGGCTAGATAATTGAGTTTCTACAATACACAAAGCTCAATTATCTGCTGGCCAGAAATTATACAGTTTCATAAAACACACAGGGACCCCAAAACATGCAATAACCTGGTTGAACCACATATCCAAAATTCACCCAGATCCGTTCAGTACTTTGGAAAATACAGTTTAATGCAGATTCTGCAGAACATATACAGGCTAAATGAAAAACAATCACTGTATAATGTGTCCCCTGCTGTATAGTCCAAAACCACTGCACGATGTCTCTGTGCACCAAATACTGGCGAGATGGCACCGTGTTGAAAAGTCCAAACAGTGTCTGTGAGTTAAAATGGCCGCCATCCATTGTTCTCACCATGTGCTTCTGATACAGGAAATGGTGGCCACCCAGTAACTCCACAGTATGTCCCCAGATGGTTCTTAAAGGGCCAGCAGCAGCACAACACAAATCCATTATGCCCAAATCATGTCTTTAAAGGGCAATACATCCCAGGGGCCATAGTCACAGGGCAAGAGGCGGGCAAGCAGTCCTCTCCAGGCACAAGTGGCGAAGGGCACTTCGTCACAGTAGGGTTCTCCAATTGCTGATGATAATAATACACATACTGATAATAGATTGATTGGCATCCTAGATCAATGAAGATGATCCTCAATTTTCTATATTTAGATCATTCTATGAAAGTTCATTTTATGGGACACATATTAACTAGGATTGCTTATTTATACTGAAGGCTAAATTAAAATACAATTAGTAGATACATATAATCAACTTTGAACTGTAACAAAATCGACCTATAACATGAAAAAGATTCTAGTGAATATAGGGGGGTGGGGGGTGTAGTTAACTGAGACCAATAACCAGGTGTGATTAGATTACCTAATCACATTGATCCAGTCCAGATCTGAAAATATACTGCAAGTTATGTTCTTTATTTTGCTGTAGTGGTATTAAAACAGATCAACATTTCAGTTCTTTTATTGGACTTTTATCAAGACAATACCAACACACCAAAGCAATGTTTCCAGCCTCAGCATTGGATAGAGATAATGTAAACAAGATTTTTTTTAACCCTTTAATTATTAAACATAGGGGGAAATCCACACAACTAGGGACACTATAGCATTAGAAACACAAGTTTGCACTTACAGTATAGTGTTGCTAGAGGCTGAGAATGGTAAAGAGAATATTCAGACTGCCAGCATATACAACTATGTTTTATGATGGCTTATAGGAAAGTTGTGTCTATGTTTTGAAACTATGGATCGAACTCCAGTCAGGCTGTCAAGATTTTCGCTCTATGCTCCATTGCTATAGTTTGAAAAAACTGTATATTTCGGTTATTTACCTTTCTCAGGTGGGTTGTATTAAATCATGGATGACATGATTTGCTTCTTTCTCATGCTACACTCTCTTTTTTTTGTTCTCAGCCTCTATTTAAGTTTTGGTGTGATGGTATCAGCCTACAAAAATGTTGACCTGTTTCCTGTTTTGAGACAACTCCTGCACAATACAGCATATCCTGATACTTGCATAAGAGTGTACTCTATAAAGGTTTCTCTATCTATGCTAGAGTTGATACAGCAAGAACTTTACCGTCCCTTTAAAGGATTGTATTATCACATTTACGTGCACTTTTTAACACCTGTCAGTCACTTCATTAAAAGTTCCCTTCAGTTATATTCTTGAGACATTGACGTTAAAGGGACACTATAGTCACCAGAACCAGTACAGCTTAAAGTCTCTGCAGTCTTTTTAATGTAAACACTGAAATTTCTCTGCCTAGTAACATTTCTAGTGACAGTCACAGTATGTAGCATAGACGTTCAGCATCTCCACGCTCTATTCAGAAAAACGAGCCATTAGTTTCTATTTAGGATATTGTTACATGATATTCCATGTATTCTATGTGTGCCATATATGAATTAGTAATTCTCATCTTCCAAACCTTTCCCATTGATCAAAATCCAAATCATAGTTACAGAGAGAGCCTGACCTTACCACACTCTACCCTGATCGGCCACAATATTTAAACCACCTTCCTAGTATTATGTAGGTCCCCACATCTCTGATGCATTGAAACATGGACTCCACAAAACCTCGGAATGTGTCCTGTGGTATCTGGCACCAAGGCATTAGCAGCAGATCCTTTAAGTCCTGCAAGTTGCAAGACAGTGTTCTGTCCACACCCATTTTTTTTATGTAAAGACCATCACCCATTTCTACAGGTGGGGGCACAGAAGAATCATGCCCCCCCTGTTATTTTATAGGCCCCATTTCCATAGGATGGGGCCTTTCTAGTGACTGGGCAGAATGTTGATCCCATAGGCATTTTTTTTAAATTGTTTTTTCATTTAACTAGTTAATGTGGCTACTGTCTATCTAGCACTGGCCAGCTGCCACATTGTTAACCCTTGCATTTTAACAATCTGGGTCCAGATTTTAGCCATCGGGCAGCATTCAGTCCAGTTGGAATCTGGACGAAAGTCAGGCTCATTCAGAGCCTGTAATGCAAAATCTGGACAAGTAGTGACATTTTGTAGTTCGAATGGCCTTGTACAACACTGGGCTATGTTGTACTTTCTGAGCAGGGTCCTTTGGACTTTAATGAATACACCAGGTATATTCAGTGCCCTTATTGAATTATCCTAATATCAGTTACTTGTAAAATTATAATTCATATTTATTTCCACGAATATCCTGTGTTTCACTGTTGTTATGTGTTGTTTCTTTCAGGTAATTCTACCAAAATAAAACAAAATGTCAGACAATAGCACACAAAATGAAACCGACTGTTTATTCGTTGATAACACTGCAAATGGTATCCTGCTTGCAATCTACTCTGTGGTGTTTCTAGGAGGATTCATTGGAACACTTATAATGATCTTCTTGATTTGTAGAACAAACACACGTTCAGTCACCATAACAGCAGTCATCAACTTATTGGTTGTTCACACTGTCTTCCTCCTCACAGTACCATTCCGGATTGCTTACATTATTCAAAAGAAATGGATCTTTACCACTATTTTTTGCAGACTTGTAAGCGCTATGATACATATACACATGTATATTTGTTTTGTATTTTACCTGATTATACTAGGCACCAGATTCTTTATATTTTTCCAACAGAAGGACAAGATTGAATTTTATAGAATCCTGCATTCGGTGGCAACCAGCGCTGCTGTATGGATAGTCATTCTCATTATTGCTCTTCCCACTTTTTTGGTATACGGCCAAAACTCTATTCCCAACTTACCGGATCAATGTTTCTACTTTCACAAAGAACTTTCTAGCAACATTGTGATTATAGTGAACTATGTCATAATAGCTATTATGATCTCAGTGGTTTGCTTTCTTCTGACCATACAGATCCTCATAATTGTGAAGGTTGTCAAAAAAATACAAGGCTCTGTGTTGGTTCATCAGGATTTCTGGGCACAGCTGAAAAGTTTGTTCTTCATTTTGGTCATGCTATTTTGTTTCTTACCTTATCATTTGTTTAGGATCTACTACTTAAAACACACAGACAGTTGCTCCCCATACAATGACATTTCCTTAGCCGTAACTGCTCTCAGCTGTTTGGATATCTTAATTTTCGCCATACATACCTACTTTCATAAAGTATGCCAAAGAAGTATGTGTAAGTGTTTAATATAAATTAAGAGTTACAAAATATGGACTTGTCATGAACATTTGACCTGTTTCTTTAACTAAATTGGGTGACATTTCTTTAAAATAGAAGTGTGTGTAAATTTTCTATTTTTATATATTGTCTTGGCTGTTATTTGTTATGGTTTTTAAATTATTATATTAAACAAATATGGAGTATATTTATATATTATTATATATTTTATTGCCTAGATCTATTGAATACATTTATTTTCTGCTACTAGTTCTGCGATTTTTCCCTGGTTCCTGTAGAACAAAGAACTATGCCAACTGCTCTGACGCAACCTTATTCTTCTCATTTCGAATAGTATGAAAAGTCCCAATCTGGGCTGTCAAGACCATTTTCTCATGTTGCCTTTTTTTCCAAATAATTTATTTGCATATTTTTTTCCATTTGTAATGATGCCTATTTGTGAGTAGAAGTTGAGAATATGTTTCATCATTTCACCTTGCTTGATTTGGTAAGTTTTATATTATAGGTAGAAATTATTGTAGTCATACCGTAGTCTAGGGATTCTGGTACGATTCAAATCAAGGGCACACAAGCTGTAATAATAGTCCTAAGGTTTCCTCATTTTACATACAGAGTCATTCACTGAAGTGAAAATTCAAGGTGAAACCAAAATGATTTTCAAATTTAAGGTCAAAATAGCCAAACTGAAAAAAAAGTCTGCTATATTTTCAGTTTGGATACTCTGGCCTTAAATTCCAAATTCTCTTTGAATTCACTTATAATTTTCACTTTATGGAATAACACTGTTAGAGTCTACAAGATCCCCACTCTTTGAATGCATATCCTTCATCAACTACATATAGGACAATGTATAGAAAATGGCTATTGTACATGTTCTGCGGGATATGAGCAGTGGGGCAAAGTTACCATTCAACAGGTCCCCCGTGTGAATAAGGGTCTGTCACACTCACAGTATTAATAGGATAGACTCCTACTTTCTTAATATGGGGAAACATGCACATATGGAGACACAGACCAGCTCAGACGCTAGCATTGAAGGGACACTATAGTCACCAGAACTACAGCTTAATGAATTTGTTCTGGTGAGTAGAATTATTCCCTTCAGGCTTTTTGCTGTAAACACGGTCTTTTCAGAGAAAATGCAGTGTTTACATTACAGCCTAGTGATAACTTCACTGGTCACTCCTCAGATAGCTGTTTGAGATCCTGGGTCATGGCTGCCTAAAATGCATCCAAACATTCTGTGTCTCCTCCCTCTGCATGCAGACACTGAACTTTCCTCATAGAGATTCATTGATTCAATTAATCTCTATGAGGAGATGCTGATTGGCCAGGGCTGTGTTTGAATTGTGCTGGCTCTGCCCCTGATCTGCGTCCTTGACAGTCTCAGCCAATCATATGGGAAAGCACTGTGATTGGCTCAGGCAACAACTTCTGATGATGTCAGCAGACAGCTTGCTAGTCTGAGACAAACAGCATGCAGAGCTACAGCTTCAGGCTTGAATACAAGTAAGATTTTGCTATATTTAGGGAGGCATCAGGGGACCAGGGGGGCTAGATGGTGGTTTTAACACTATAGGGTTAGGAATACATGTTTGTGTTCCTGACCCTATAGTGCTCCTTTAATGTATGTGGTAAATTGCAATTCCTACTTCATGGGGAGTCTGAGCAACCCATCTATTCTTTTTATTTATTATTTCACTATTTATTCTAACAGTAGACTTAGGCAGTTATATACCCATAACTATAGAAACAGTTCAGGAACAGTTAGACAGTAGTTCTATTTTGTATTGTGAATGGTTCCATTTTTGGAGTTCATTTAGTTTAATCCTGAGTCAGGATTGTACAGTTTGGAAAGAGAGCATATTTAGTGAATATATGCTGAAATATTGGCTCCAAATTGGCCACTTTTTGTTTTTCTAAATCTGAAAAAAGCAGAACATATATTTATTAACCACATGTGAGTCATTAAGCAATTTATGCTGTCCTTGTACAAATATAATTTGTATTATTACTATAACAAAATAAAGTATTCAGAGTTATGAGCAAAATATTAATTATTTTGCAGTTTAGCCATTTATTTTAGGCTACCTCTTCTTGAATTGACAAAAAATTAACCCCTTGAAGGGACATTTTAGTCAGGAAAACAACTTTGGCTTGATGAAGCAGTTTTGGTGTACAAATCATGTCCCCGCAGTCTCACTGGTCAATTATCTGCCATTCAGGAGTTAAATAACTTTGTTTATAGCCACACCTCTCTGCATGTGACCTACACAGCCTTCCTAAGCACATGTAAAGAGTCATCTAATGTTTATACTTCATTTTTGAAAATTATTTTTCATTTAGAATCTCTTATCTCCTGCTCTGTCCTTCTGAATGTAACTAAAGTTCAATTTGCATTGCAAGAGATACAAACTTTTAAAGTAAGTTACATCTGATTGAAAGTGAAACCAGGTTGTGTCAGTCACATCCAAGGGAGATGTGGCTATAGCTCCAGAAACAAAAGTGATTTAACTCCTAAATTGCTGTGAATTGTACAATGAGAAACTTCAGAGGCATGATCTATACACACAAACTGCTTCATTTAGCTAAAGTTGTTTTGGTGACTATAGTGTCCCTTTAAGGACGGAGGCAATTGTGAAAGTTCTGATCCAAAATGAAACGTAGAATTTGTGCTATATGTCTGTTCAACCACAATTTATGTCTATCACATTAAGTACACCCTTACTTAGTATATAACAGTTTGCTCAGGGCAAATGTGGCTTTCATTTATCATCAAATATTTATATATGAAAAATAATTTAATTTAACAAAATGAGAAATGTTGATATTTTTAGCATTGTAGGTTTTACTGTGAATATGATAATACTGTTAGTTTTTACTGCAAAAAAACAAACATATTTGCATTCTGTGATGTCCCACAAGTACAATGAAGCTACCCATGTACAGGTGTGCTGGAGTTTTTGGACGGCCAAATATGACACCAGTGGCGGATGCGGAGATTTTACAAGGCAGGCCGAGGTTCTCCCCTGCCGGCTAATACAGGGCTGGCATTGTCCAAGCGCCAGCCCTGCAATGTGCCTTCACGGACCAGAGGGGAAATCAGAGATCTCCCTCCACGGTCCGCAGGCACCATGTGGGCAGCCGGCAGGGGAGGGAGTGACGACCCAGGAGCTCTGTCTGTAGCTCCTCCGGGTCCTTATCTGCGAGCACGGGGACCACCAGGGATTCCCCACCAGACCACCAGGGATCGAAAAATGTCCCCCTACTCCCTCAGTAAAGGTAAGAAGGGATGGGGGAAAGAAAGTATATTTATTTTATTAAATTTAAAAAATATATTATGAAAAAGCCTCCCTACCCTCCTACCCCCCCATACACACACTTCTCCACAAAACACTGCCCCCTATACACACACTGCCCTACACACATACACTGCCCCACAAACACTGCCCCCCATACACACACACACACATACACACATACACTGCCCTCATACATACACTGTTCCCATACACACACTGCCTCACAGCCACACACATTGCCCCCGCACACTGCCCCACCCACATATACTGCACACCCATACACACATTGCCCCACACACACACATACACTGCCCCCATACACACATTGCCCCACAGACACATACAGTGCCCTACACACACTGCTCCACAAACACTTTTCTGGTCCTGTGTTGCCTTTGAGGCAGTAAGGCAGCCCAAGAAAGAAATTTATAGCATACCATTTGCAAAAGTAGATAACCCAGGGTGTTCAGTGATGTCAAACAAACACAATGAAAATCTGGACAAATATAGTATAAACAACATGAGGATCAGCGCTGGTTAACAGAGAAAATAGACCAGGCAGCAACCCAAAAAAGGGATCCCTCTCAAACCCTTTTCTAAATGGGAAGAAAAAAGGGCTGCGCCAAATTATGTGCTAATTTTGATATAATTATAATTATACAAGCAACATTAAAGTAATAAAAGAACATATAACCAAAAAAAATAGGTAAATATGTTGTACAAAAATAGTCCAAAACAATAGCCCTTATGTAAATAGTACCCTTTAGGTAGGAAATAAAATCAGGTAGTAAAGTTCTAGATCAGGGGTAGGCAACCTACAACACTAGTGCCATGCACGGCACTCGAGGTGCTAGAGCCAAACAGGCTCTGGCCTATCAGGAGTCCCAGTAAAACTTCAGATTTCTGCTAATCCGAAAAAGTGGTGAAGGACAATCCTCAATTTATGCATTTCAGCACGTAGAGAAAGTGATCTCTTCCTCCCAGCACCTGTGAATGGGAATCCACACAGTAGTAGAGCAGCACGCAGTTGCTGTTGCAGCTCCTGTCCTTGACATGTACCTGGCCGGCCTGGTCCCCACTGGAACCCAGGGAAGTCACCCACACTGCTTGATATACACAGAAATGCAGAATAAGCCTCCCCTCATACAAATAGTACGTACAGCCCACACACAAACATACACACCATCCGCACCACCACTAACAATCCACATACAGGCACACAACCCCACATGCAGCCTCCCACATGCAATACCACAATAAGCCCCCACACACTACCAAACACACAATGTGACATATCCATCCACCCACACAATTCCACAAGCAGCCCCCATACACAGCTTACATTCATATGTATCATACACAATACCATAAACTACTCATGAACATATACAATATAATAGCTCATATATGCAGGGCCGTCTTTAACGCAGGGCAAATGGGGCAGTTGCACCGTGAGCCCCGCTGGCCTCAACTATTTCTCACACCCCGGCCGGTAATCCACACACTAAGGAGGCCCACCGGCTGGTCCATGCACAAAGGGCCACCCGGTGGGCTTCTGTCAGCAGGGGTCTGGTCGCGTGCTGAGGCGCTTTAACAGCGCGAGCAGGCCCCTTGCTTTTCTGCAGCAGGCAGGGAGGAAGGGACGGCCGTGCATCACTTCCTCCCACAAAGAGAGGAGCGCGGAAAGAAGAGTAGGCAGAGTGGAGGGGGGCTGGCCGAGAGAGCCAGACCCAACCTCCCAACACCTTCAGCCACCAGCAGGAAAGGTAGGAAACTGGAGGGTGGGTTTTAAAGTGTAAATTTGGTGTAGGTTAGTATGCTTGTGTGTGTGTGTGTGTGTGTGTGTGTGTGTCAGTATGTCTGTGTCAGCATATCTGTGTGTGAGTGTCAGCATGTCTGTGTGTGAGTATGTCTGTTTGTGTCAGCATGTCTGTGTGTGTCAGCGTTGGGGTGGAGGACATGATTGCACGCCTGGGGAGGGGGGACAGGGTCCAGGGGGCCCCAAGCAAATGCTTTGCCCAGGGTCCAGTCAATATTAAAGAAGGCCCTGCATATACGCACATATACAACGATACAAAGCAATTACAGTAAAAATAACACAAGCAGAATACGGCAGCATACACACCTCAATTTTAAAAAAATAGGACCGCACGCTACAGGACATCACAATCCTATATCGGCACAGTGCTGCTAAAAGGTTGCCTACCCCTGTTCTAGATGAAGCAGAGGAGTCCTTTGGAAGTATGCACATTCTTAAAACCCCTTAATGTATTCCATAAAACGACAAGAAGCAGACACACTCCAATGGTGCAATATATTAATGTAACCAAAGTAGATGAAATAAGATATCAATTGGTTACTTACATTTAATAGAGCTATGGCCAGCTCTAGCGTACGGGGTGTTCAGTGGTATGATCCCCACTTACAGGATATGATCAAGGTGTCTTCAACTTTTGGAAAATTCCAGGAACCCAAAAAACAAAGATAAAAGGCAACAGATAGTGCTCTCTATAGAATAAAATATATTTAAAATAGAGGTAAGAAAAATAATACTCACAAAGGTAGATCAGACAAACTGCTCTTTGAATAAAGCACTAGTGGAATAATCCTCACCTAGGATTTCTTTGGTGTAGAAAAAATATAGATAATAGACTTAAAAACTAAATAAAAGGTAATTGACACAATA